AAGTAAAACAGGAAGTATCACACAGAGACGCGAACTAGACACAGTGGAGACAGCAACTAAGAAACAGAGACAAACCATAAGGCAGAGGTCTAAGAACCAAAATACACAGAGGGAAATACTCAGCTTTGAACACAAGAGACTAGACTAGAGGGAGTAACAAAAGACCAACCATGAGAACATAATGCACAATGCAGGGTGACAGAAAACAAGAAACTCAAACATGCAAAGACACACCATAAACAGAACAGAGGGGACACAGAGAGACATGAAGGGCAGGGGAGACTTAACATGGGTTGAAACACAAGGGGGAACTAATAAGCAAATCAACATAGGAGGCCTAATGAGCTAAACATACTATAAACATCAAAATGAACTAAAACTCAAAACACTGGGTCCTAAGACCCAGGATCGTGACACTCTTGTTTTGCGTGATTTTTGTGTAGTTGGCACAACATCAGGGTAAAGTCAGGAACAATGGGCTTAGCTTTGGATTCCACAAAAATGGACTGGAAAACGGAAGTTAACTGCACAGTGTCGTGAGTATTTGATTTGTGACAGCCACGACATCAAAAACAATTAAAAAGATGAATAACATATAGGCCTATTTTAAAATTATTTTTGCTGTGTGTGAAAGTGTTATTTACTAGGATCGCTGAATATTTCTATGCTTATTTCAATTTCCTGTTACAATACAAAGGACAATTGTTAACCAGTTACATACTGTGCAGACTCACGAATACAGAAGGCTAGTTTTGTAAAAAGCAAAATGATAAACAGCAGTCAAATTAGTCTTCTGGACAAGGTAGAGAATGATTGCACAGGTTTTAAGTACACTTGTCTGGTTAAGACTTTCACTTGTAATGTGGTTTTTACTTTGTGGTGTTTCTACTTTCAGACAATGAGAGCTCCTTTCAGTCTTGAACATGTCCAGGTACAACAGTCATTTGAAGAGATTTAGAAGATATGCCTATTTACTTTTTAATCTGCAAGTCCGATGGTTATTATATATATTTCTTATTAAATCCTTTCATAGTGTATTGTCATCAAAGCATCAGTAGCCACAGGCTGTAATCTTTTTGCCAAATATTATATTTTATTTTTGTTGTTTGGTCTTTGTTGTCTGTGTTCTCCAGTTTGTTTTAAGATGGTGCCATTTAGTATTTAGTTAATATCTGCCAGCTCCATCACACAGAAGGCGTATTAAACAAATGTAATTTTTATAAACCATCGGGAGATTAAAAGAAGCATTGGTGAACATTTAAGTCCATTTTTTGATTTTTGATTTTTTTTTTTACATAGTGTCATATTGTTGAATGGACAATAGTCGAGCTTTAAGCGACGATTATTAGTTTGTAAAAGGACTTTTTAAATTCCTTTGGCTTCCACAAACCAGACAGAGTTTGTGGAAGCCAAAGTAAGCAGAGTAAGCAAAGTAACACGTCGCGCATGGCTGAAGCATCAGAAGACATTTATCTTTAGCTTTCGTCGAGTTCTCATATAGCGAGTCATGCCTAAACTATTGTAAACTAATCTAGGGGACAGTTAAGATTCATAAAATAAGAGATTTTAAAAAGCGACACTCCAAAAAATATTTTTTTTAAACAGCATTTGTCGTCTATGCGTAATTTCTCAGGAAACTGTGTTATTATAGCCAGTAATATATCCCAATTACGCCGAGTACAAACTAAACATGTGATGCTCCCTATGCCAGATCCCGTTACTTTACGGAAACTTTATTCGAGGACGCGCACGGGCACAGAGACAGCACTTCGCGAAGCTGCTGTGTACAGTACTTACAAGTTTAAGAAGATCGCCCCTCTCCTGTGTCTGTAGTGAAGTCAGACTAATAGTGAATCCAGAATCCGGTGGCTGAAAAGCTCAGGTCCCTGCACTGCAGGGCGTTGTTCTGTCCGCCCCGTGCGTCATCTCCTCATCTATTGCCTGTCGGTAACGATCTGCGATCATCCCGCTATGACTATTTTCTTTCACAATTTCAATTACTTTGACTGTTGATTAATAACAAATATCTATAGAAATAATATTACTTGTGATTATTATTGGATATATGATATTATAATACTTTAAATGAAGTATAAGTATTACAATATCATTAAGACGCTGCTTAAATAAAATGTACTATGATTACCTAATAATAAAACCTTAAAAGTAAAGGTTATTCCCTATTAGGTTAGCTGTAGCTGTAGGAGGTGGAGCACGTCATCAACTAATCAGAAGGTTGGTGGTTTAATTCCTGGCTGCTCTGGTCTGCATGTTAAAGTATCCTTGGATAAGATACTGAATCCACTGGATTTTGAATGCGTGTGGATGTTTGATAGAAAGTACTTAGAAAAAGTGCTTGGGTGATTGAGGTATTCACCATTTATACATCCACTAGTAGCATTTTACACAACGCAGTCTAAGGAAATCCTTTAGCAGAATTTATGAAAGATCACATTATCCAGTTAAAGATTTGAGCTTCCTTTTCAACCAAATGGTCGGGCATTGCACAGCTACAAGCATTTCACCCCCCCCCCCCCCCCCCCCCCCCCACCCCCCCACCCCATGTATGGCTGTGTATGTGTGTGACAAATAAAATTTGAATTTGATTTGAATTTGAATTTGAAATGGGACACTTAATATAGTTAAAACTCTACTTGCAGGGTTAGTCGTATCTGTAGAGACAGTACTTCGCTGTAGGACACAGCTAAATATCACCACAGTAAAACAAGAAGACCTTAACTCATGTGGATGGTAAAATGCTTTTAAGGGCTTGGCCTTGAGATTTAAATATTTCCCTGCACTTTGTCTTCAAAAGCTTTTTAATCCCTTTCGGATTTATCGTGAAAATATTTCTTCATCTTTCTGTTTTGGTTTTTTCTGTCTATACAACACTTTTCAGGCATGCTTCTGTGTAAATTTCAACCAAAATAAAAGGAAGTTCTTTCTGAAAGCCTGTTCTTCCTCGTTGGAGTGCTGCCATGACCATTATTATGACCATTATTACTCTTCCAGTGACCTTCGTTGTTTAAGCGCTCATGGTCTTAAATTTCCTCTATTTTGCACACAGTTTTTTGACCGGGGCTAGAAGGACTCCAAACGCTTTCAAGGACCTTTTGTACATTTTAAAACTCATTTTCCACGCTGCCAAGCATCAACAATGATAAGTCAAACATCTTCAAGAGTTGAATACTAAAAGTGTTCGCACTCCCTGCTGATTCCTGACAGAAAACACCTGATCCCAAGTTCCCCTTCAAGTTTATGTTTAATCCCAGAGGCTGTCCTACTTTGCTATCCCCACACGTTGAATGATTTTTAATTGAATAATTTTGCAATTTTGAATTGATCGAGCATGTTTGCCTCGCGTGTTCAACCTTTAGCACTTGGGTGAAAAAATTACAAATATTTCAGTTCATATTTACACTGAAATGTACATGTTTACGTGAAGCTTAACAACTAAACATAGAACGTGAACCTCAAGGTTTAGTTGCCATCGGCCTTGGGATTTTTTTTTAGTCAAGGGTTAAAAGTACTGAGTTAAGCATAGCATAAAAATACTGCTGTAGTATATGGAAATATAAATGCGGTTATAGTTTCTGCTGTCATGACACTAAAGCAATTTGGAGAAATGAAAGAGAAAGACAGGGAAGGGGAAGAATCTAAAGCTTAATCTTACCAGACTAACTGCATTTCACTGTGAAATATGGATTAAAAAGTCACCAGTGCTAGGACTGAATGTATTATGCTCTGTGTGAGTTTGCAATACCTGATGTAATATGCTGTGTAATCTCTTTTAAAGACTGAAACCATGCACAGCTCAGTTGACTACGAATCTGGAAAAATATGTGGCTGTAAGGTGATATGCAGCTTTTTAGTCACCAGATGTCAACTCGGGTGAATACCTGCTGGAGAATTCGGACCTGTATACTAAACAGCGCACTCCACCAAATGAAGTGATATCTTATGGAATAGTGGGGTCTACCCCTACAGCAGACTATCAAAGTCATTTAAATATAATGGGCAAGTATCAACTTTAAATCTCCCCAATTACATACAGACCAATTGTCTGTATCATCAACTCGGTCCCCTATAACATGTCAAAGTTTCTGGCTTCAATCCTCAATCCGTTAGCAGGCAGCTCTAAACACCATATCCAGAACACCTTGGATTTTTTTGAGAAGGTGTTGTGTTCTGTAAACACACATGGATCAGTGTAATCAGTCTGACTCTCATCATCCATTGGAGCATAAACTGGGTGTCATCAGGACACTACAACACAGAGCAAATTACATCCCCACAGACCGAGTGGCCAGGAAAGCAGAAGAACATCACATCAAGAAGGCCCTGAGTAGGCCCAGCTGAACATTTGTCAAAGCCTTCCCAGCTTTGGCAAAAAGAAAGCTAGGTATCCAGGAGAGAAGGACAACTGCTGCCTAAGCACTTTAGTGATCCCTTGTGTGTCAGGAGTACGGGAACAGCTAGGACGCATTTGAAACTGATCTCACAGCCCATTGCTGTTATATCTTTTACTATTTTACTTGCTATGATTGAGCATGCATCAAGACTTTAAAAAAATGGAATTTCCACAGGACACACAAGGCAAAATAAAAGTAACATATAGAAATGTTTACAGTAAACACTGTTAAGAACTGGGAGCACCAGTCTAATGACAGGAACTGTTGTGAAGTCCTCCCCCCAGACATTAAATGTGAAAATGACCTTTTATTTTCCTGGTACAGAGCTCAGATAAGGCCATATAAACATTTTCTTTTATCAGGCATCAAGCAGTGACATGAGTGTAAAGAAACTGCACAGAAAATGCAACTCTCTTTCAATAAACATCTATTTTAAGGACAGTTTTTAAAAATTGTTGGTAATTTATTACTTAACCTTTGAGGCTAACATACTGCAACATAATAGATGCAAGTTTTGTTGTATTCATTTGTTTTTATTAATCCCAAGTCATTTGGGAACAGAGAGAATACATTTTCCTCTTGGCACATGTCAAAACCTGCTCACATTTTATTCAGAAACGTTTGATTTGACCTTCACCAAAACATCGTGTCAAGGTCGTTATTCCTTAGTACAATTTTGCTTTAGCGGGAAATCTACAGTGTAACCTATATGGTAACCAGAAACCCCTTTTAGCCCTGTTTGGTATGTCGCAGTCGCATGTGACACATACTTAAAAAAGAAGGTGTCATTGGCAGGCATTCATTATTTATAATTCACTGGTGTCAGGTGGAAGATAAGCATCACGATGGATTCACCTGAGGTTAAAATACCTGGGTTGGACATCCAGGTTCCTTTTCAATCGCATGAATTACTTACATACAAGATACATACAAAATGAAAAAGAAACAGTGGTGCATGTGGTAGTTGTGAAACTACCAGGCCTGAAATTGCATCAGTACAAAGAAACTTTCCACTTCCTCTTCCTGCCCTCGTTCACATGTGCTAGGTTTAATTTTTTTGCACCACATTTTAACTTTTGAAGGCAGCTTGAGGCTGCAGCACGTTCACAGTACACAGTGGTCATGTATGAGATGCACTTAGCATGGGGATTGGGCTGTGGTGTCATCTTCTTCAAAGGGATGGAACCATGCATCCATTTTACGCTTGAGTCTCTTCTTAAGCTGAAAGCGGCGCTGGACTGAGGTAGAATTGTAAGCTTGGGTCTTTAGTTTGCTGTAGTAATCAGAGAACTTGTTAAACAGGAAAGAAATCGGCATGCCGTTGAGGATTATCCCAAAAGTAATGCATCCAAAGGCCACGATGCGGCCCAGGATAGTTACAGGAACCACATCCCCGTAGCCCACAGTGGAGATACTGACCTGAGAGAGAAAAGGGGAAACAAAATCCTATGTTCAGTTTCCAGGAATGTTTCCTTTAATCAGAGTTATTTTTGATTCTAAGAATGAATTAAAAGTTTACACTAACAAGTAGTACAGCTGGCCTTGAAAATGTCTGCTGAATCGACACTTACTTGTTTAATTTCACTTCAAAAGCAACACAAAGACATTATCTGAAGTCTGCAGTGCAAGTATAAACATTAAAATGTGTAACTTTATTGGACAGTTCTGTACAATCAGGCTGCTGCTTCCATCAAAACCTACATCTAGCCTCTTTGTGGCTCTAGCAGGTGTCAAAATACTTAAGAAAAAGCACAGACAGCAGACCACTTCCGTTGACCAGTGTTAGGATTGCCATCTTCTAATTCTTTATGAGAAAACAGTTTGGGCAGGGTTTGCCTTTCATGAAATGACATTTAAGAAATTTATGCAAATAGACTAAAAAAATGCTGAGAAGAATTTAGTTTTTTAAGCCAAACATAAGTACAGATCACTGCATGTTACATTTGTGAAAATCAATTAATTTCTGTGTTTGACTAATAAGTAGTGGAATAATAACCTTTGATCTAGAGAGTATTTACATTTCTAGACAGGTGAAAGTCACACTTGTAGGTGTTAGAACGTTCAACTTATTGCTCAGGGGAAGAGTAGGTAGGTGAAAAAAGACTGCAAAAGGAAATAAGCGGCTGGTTTGGGTTAGGTGCTGTAGTACACATTTCTTTGACACTTAGAGCCCCCGAGAGCAGCCAGTTGGCTTTTCTACCTTTAAAACCTACCTTTAAAACCCGCCTACCAGTCAAATGGCTTTTAGCTAGGCTTTAGCTTCAGCCAAGTGGAAGCTAAATTGGCTAGTCATTCATATGTAAATTAGGTTGTTACCTGAGAATTCTGGAGGGGAGTGGGTGTGTGAGAATGATTGCTAATTTCTAACTGCCAACTGCCTCCATGGCAGTGCCAGGATTGTGAGTGATTGCTGAAAATGTTGAAATGTACTCACTCACTTTTTATTATTATTTGTAAATATGTGTACAAATGGTTGGTTTTTTGTACTGTTTTTATCAATAAATCTCAGCAACAAAGGACATACACCCATGTCTGTTGATTTCTCCCTAAGATGGCAAACTGAAACACTCCAAGTTGGTGACTTTTGGAGATTTATTTCCCTGGATGATTGAGAATGCATCAAGACGAACACAAAAGGAAATTCACAGCTTTTAGCAGCTCCCCCACCCCCTCATTCACACACCCCCACTCCCCTCCAGAATTCTCAGGTAACAACCTAATTTACATATGAATGACTAGCCAGTTTAGCTTCCACTTGGCTGAAGCTAAAGCCTAGCTAAAAGCCATTTGGCTGGAAGGCGGGTTTTTAAAGGTAGAAAGGTAGAAGCCTGGCCGGCTGGTGTTGAACCTTCCTTTTATTAGCGCACATAATAGGCAGATGTTTGCTTAGAAAGAAAAAGTCAAAGGCAGACGTGGAGATGTGGAGTTTATAGCTACAGACAGTGATACTTACTGCTGCCCACCACCAGGCGTACGGGATACTGCTGATGGGAGAGACTTCGGTTTCCCTTTCTGCTGAATGCAGAAGAGCAGAGAATGTGAAGATTCCCAAGGCGATAAAGAGAAAAATGCAATAGGCCTCCTGGTAGCACCTCCGCAGAGTAAATGCAAAGGCCCTCATGCCGGTCGAGTGGCGGGCTAGCTTCAAAATCCGAAAGATCCGCAGCAACTTGACAATTTTGAGGACGTGGCTGAGCTTACTGACCCGGGCCATGGCCCTGAGGTCTTCTTGTGCACTCACATCCTCGGAGTCAGTAAAGGCTTCAAAGATGATCTGGACAAAATAAGGCATGACTGAAACCATGTCCACAAAGTTAAGTCCGCTCTTCAAAAATAATACAATGTCAGGAGTGGTGATGAGACGAATCAAATACTCAAAGGTGAAGAACACAATGGTGACGATCTCTCCCCACTCCATGTAGGTTTTGTCATCGATTCTGTACGACTGTAGTTCTTCCACAGTGTTGAGACACATTGAAGCGATGGACAAGAGCACGAAAAGGTTAGAGAGCAGAGTGAAAGTCTTCGCAAGAGTTGACGAGTACGGATTCTCCACAATGTTCCACATAGTCATCCGAACGTCCCCAAACATCATGTCCTTGAAATAATCATCATTGTACTTTACCTCGACCTCAGCCATTAGTTCTCTTTCCACCTCCAGGTTCTCCTTCAACTCATCTACCTTCTCCTGAAACACCATCCAACAGCAGAGCTGTGTGTCCTTCAGGCTCAGGCCCCAGTATGCAATTTCTTCCTCAAAGCTGATGGGACACATTTCCACTATGATCCAAAGCACTCCGGTTGCATAGAAATGGCAGATGTGGTGAAAGAAGGCAGGATCCCGGTCAAAGAAGAACTCGTTGCTGCACACAGAGTAGTCATCACAGAGGGTGAGGAGTTTTGCCTGGTCCCGGCAGAGAGCTAAGGAACCTATTCGAGTGTTAGGATATCTAACTGCACACATTCTTGGAATGTAAAACACTTTCCCTCCTACATTTAAGTTCATGTTTTGCTGGGGTTTGGGTGTCTTCTCACCTTTAGGGCAGTCATCTTTAATCCCAGGATAGTCCAGATTCTTCAGTGAGCTCCACGCTTTGGCTGTTTTTTCCTGAGAAAATGGGAATGTTTTATTACCCTTTGTGCACTTTGAGAGAGAGCTGACACTATAGCAGGAGCTCTGCAAACATGTTTGCAGCTGAGCGTTCTCTGAGCAAGCCATATCAGCTGTGGTCCAAGACAGGAAATGCAACAGAACAGAAAGAGGAAAACAACCATTAAAAGAAAGACTCTGAGAAAGGGATGTAATCAACACATGGTAAATCCACGAATATCTGATCCTGCAGCCACTTCTGACATCCCAGGGAAAACGGGGTTTTCCTGTTTGATGGCTCAGCTGTGGCTGATATGGTGACTCCTGGAAGTTAGGGGACAGAAGGAATTTCCTCTGTTTGTTACAGCAAAGGCAACACATTGGACTTTACGACCAGAAGATCAGGACAAGCAGCAGGGATTTTATCCATTTAATCTCATTGGGACCTTTCCAGGTGCCTTTAAGTAGTTGTATATTTAGGTGGGAGGGGCATGGAGGGCAGGATTAGTAAACAAAGTTGCTTTAAGGATTTTGAACCTACGCAGGTACGGGGAAAACAAGCAAACCTCACGCAGTAAGGCCTCAGCCAACCAGGAAGTGTAAAACCAGAACCTCCTTGACGTGTAGACAACAATACTAAACACTGCACCACTGTGCCACCCTCAGTGGTCATTTTTTTTTTAATTAATATTGAAATCACAGCATCTAAATTTTATACACATAAAATACAGGATAAAATGAAATGGAATGAATACTACAGAATGTACATAAGGTGCAGTTGCAGTCTGGCAGTGTGAGCAGTGTGACAGTTCAACTGTTTAAGAGGGAGATGGTGAGGGGAAAGAAACTGTTCCTATGTCGGGTGGTCCTGGTCTGCAGGCTTCTGTACTGTCTGCCAGAGGGCAGCAGGTAGAGAAAGTCTGTGTCCAGGGTGTGAGGGGTCTGTGATGATTTTCCCCGTTTCCTGGTTCTTGAGAGGTACAGATCCTGGATGGAGGGCAGGGGGGCGGCGATGATCCTTTCTGCTGCCCGTACAGTCCGCTACAGTCTGCTCCTGTCCTGTTTCAATGACTGCAGTGTAGAACTGGATAAGCAGCTCCTGTGGAAGACTGTACTTCCCCAGTTGTATCAGGAAGTACATCCTCTGCTGGGTGCTTTTTGAGGATGGAGGAGATGTTGGTCTCCCACTTCAGGTCCTGGGAGATGGTGGTACCCAAGAACTTGAAGATTGCCACAATTGACACCGGGCTGTCTGATATGGTTAGGGGGAGCAGTGTTGAAGGATGTCTCCTGAAGTCCACTGTCATCTCTACAGTCTTCAGCACAGATGGCAGAAATGTGGAGTTTTACATAAATAACTTAGAGTTAACCTGACATCAAAACTTCAGTATCTTTGTCTTGAACCCAACAAGGTTTATCAGCCTTAATAAAATGCAGTCCAATTCTTCAATTTCTGCAAAACAAGTAAGTAAAGTTGTATTTATATAGCACCCTTCAAGACAAAAATCACAAAGTGCTTCACAGAAGCTAAAACAAAAATAAAAATCAACCAAAAGCAAGTTTAAAAAGATGAGTTTTTGTAACTAATTAGGTTAATCAAAAACACATCAGTAACACGACTGGGTATAAAAGGAGCATCTTAGAGATGTAGAGTTTATCAGAAACAAATATCAGCAGAGGCTCACCAATCTGCAAAAAAGAACAACAACAAATCAGAGAGCAATTTCAGATTAAGAGAGACTTTGAATATCTCTTTTACAGTGCATACGTACTGTTGTCAATAAGTCCAGAGAATCTGGAGAAATCTCTGTCCACAAGGGACAAGGCTAATACTTGTGATCTTTGGGCCCTCAGGTGGCATTGCATTAAATGAGAGAGATTACTGTCTGTGAACACAGTTCATAGTGCCATTCAGATACAGGTTAAAACTCTATAATGCAAAGAAGAAGCTATCAGTTCTATTTGTATGGCGCCAAATCACAACTACGTATGACTCAGGGTGCTTTATATTGTAAAGCAAAGACCCTACAAAAATACAGAGAAAACCCAACAATTCAATGAACCCCTGTGAGGAGCCACTTGGTGAGAGTGGAAAGGAAGAACACCCTTTTAACAGGAAGAAACCTCCAGCAGAACCACACTCAGACAGAGTCAACCAACCATTGTCATATACGTGTGCACTTACAGTTAAACTGCACATCAGTCCACTGAAGCAGAAAAAATCTTCCCACACAAAATGAGCACAATGCAGCACGGTTATCAGGATAGACTGTGGGTGGTTACATTCTCTGCATGCTACACTGATGAGGTTTGAACTAGTTCACTGACTTAGTAAATTATTTATGAATGTAAGTGGATGTGAAACTTAAAACATGCTTTGACTACACTAGGAATAAGTCTCTTCTACATTTGTCATGAGACAGCTGTGTTGCTACCAACACACACTCGTTGGTTAGATAAAAAAGGGTGTGTAAATCCTGTATATGTATATGTGTTGCCCTAGATTGATGGCTTATGTGCTGTGTTGTGTTGAGGTGGCTATAAAAATGAGATTACACAAACTGCTGAGGACCTGAAATCCTACATCAGAGCTGCAGGAACTGCTGTCCTCACTTCACAGACACTTAAAGAATAGTTTTAAAATACTGACTTCTAATAAATCCCTCATATTAAAGAGACACTACCAAGCTATTCTGTTTTGCCTCTGCACTCTCTACCACTCACTGTGACACAGAGTAATCTCTCAGCTTAATTAACTAAGCGTGATCTTCTCCTTCTCCTGCTAACCTACTTATCTCACTTCAGTGAACTGATCACAAGATGAAATCTGCAAGGGACAGAGGGGGATTGGGCAGCTTTATCGGAATACTACAAACATAACACAAACTGGAAACATGGAGTTGGTAGTGGTGCAGTGAGTGATGATGTTTCTAAACGTACTGACAGGTGTGTTTGATGTGCTGGCCAACCAGAAGCTTGAAACATACAATTTCACTAAGGTAACAATGTTTCATAAGCGACATCACTTCACAATACTTTCTGCAAGACCTCGAATGGCGTGAGCCTCTTCAGCTGGATGAAGATAAAATAGAAACAGTTCCATCAAAGGTTTTTTTTTATTTAGGCAAGGCAAGGCAAGGCAAGTTTATTTGTATAGCACAATTCAACAACAAGGTGATTCAAAGTGCTTTACAGAGACATTAGAAACAAGAACAAATAAAAAGCATGATTTAAAATTGAATAAAACAAGCAAATAAACTAACTAACTAATTAACAAACAAACAAACAACAGTATATAAAATCAAAACAGATAAAATCAGAACAGTAGATAAAATCAGTAGTTAAATGTAAGTTTTGAAATTTAAGCTTAAAGTGTGGATTTGGTGCTTTATTCAAATGCAGCTGAGAACAGGTGAGTCTTCAACCTGGATTTAAATAAACTGAGTGTTTCAGCTGATCTGAGGCTTTCTGGGAGTTTGTTCCAGATATAAGGAGCATAAAAGCTGAATGCAGCTTCTCCGTGTCTGGTTCTGACTCTGGGAACTGATAAAAGACCGGATCCAGATGACCTGAGGGATCTGGATGGTTCATACTGGGTCAGGAGGTCATTGATGTATTTTGGTCCTAAACCATTCAGAGCTTTATAGGCCAGCATCAGAACTTTAAAGTCTATCCTCTGACGGACAGGCAGCCAGTGTAAGGACCTCAGAGCTGGACTGATGTGGTCCACTTTTTTGGTCTTAGTGAGGACTCGAGCAGCAGAGTTCTGAATGAGCTGTAGTTGTCTGACTGATTTTTTAGGTAGACCTGTAAAGATGCTGTTACAGTAATCAAGCCTACTAAAGATGAATGCATGGACTAGTTTTTCCAGGTCCTGTTGAGACATCAGATCTTTTATCCTTGATATATTCTTGAGGTGATAGTAAGCTGACTTTGTTATTGTCTTAATGTGTTTTTCTAAGTTTAGGTCTGCATCCATCACTACACCCAAATTTCTCGCCTGGTTTGTGGTTTTTAGATGTATAGATTGAAGTTCTCTGGTGACCTGTAATCGTTTTTCTTTGGCGCCAAAGACTATTACCTCAGTTTTGTTTTTGTTTAGCTGGAGAAAATTGTGGCACAACCAGTCATTGATTTCCTCAATGCATTTACCAAGAGCCTGTACAGGGCCTCGGTCTCCTGGTGACATTGTGATATATATTTGTGTGTCATCTGCATAGCTGTGATAGTTTATTTTGTTGTTGTTTATAATCTGTGCCAGTGGCAGCATGTAGATGTTAAACAGAAGGGGTCCCAAGATGGAACCTTGGGGAACTCCACATGTGATACTTGTCTGCTCAGATGTGAAGTTACCTATTGATACAAAGTATTTCCTGTTTTCTACGTATGTTTTGAACCAGTTTAGTACAGTTCCTGAAAGACCTGTCCAGTTCTCCAGTCTTTTGAGTAATATGTTGTGGTCAACTGTATCAAATGCTGCACTGAGATCCAGTAAAACTAGGACTGACATTTTTCCACTGTCTGTATTCAGACATATGTCATTAAACACTTTGGTGAGAGCGGTTTCAGTGCTGTGGTTCTGTCTAAAACCTGACTGGAAGGCATCGTAGCAATTATTCTGTTTTAAGAAGTAACTGAGCTGTTGGGAAACTGCTTTTTCAATGATCTTACTTAAAAACGGGAGATTTGAGATCGGCCTGTAGTTGTTCATTTGTGTCTTGTCAAGATTGTCCTTTTTCAGTATAGGTTTGATTACAGCAGTTTTTAGTGATTCTGGAAACACACCTGATAATAAAGAAAAGTTGACGATCTGTAACAGGTCTGACTCTAAAGTCTTTGAGACCTTTTTGAAAAAACTTGTTGGCAGGACATCTAAACAGCAGGAGGAGGAGTTCAGTTGACCTAAGATGTCCTCCAGGTCTTTGCTGTTAATAGGTTGAAACTGTTTCATGGTGTTTAAACAGTTTTTTGGTGGACACAGTACATATCCTGGATCTGCTGTTGATGTACCAATTGCTTGTCTAATTTTTTGGATTTTTTCAGTGAAGAATTTGGCAAAGTCATTGCAGGCCATGGTCGAATGAAGTTCAGCTGCCACTGACACAGGGGGGTTTTTTAGCCTGTCAACTGTAGAAAATAAGACCCGAGCATTATGGCTGTTTTTAGTGATGATGTCAGAGAAGTAGGACCTCCTTGCATTCCTCAGTTGTAAATTATAATTGTGAAGTTTCTCTTTATAAATCTCATAATGAACCTGGAGGTTTGTTTTTCTCCATCTGCTGGTATGTTTACTATGTTTAAAGATCTTTTAGAGTGCAG